CTTTATCATTTATATGATTAATTTTATTTATTATTTATTTCATATTATCATTTATTTTAATTATATTATAAATATATATAAAATGATTGTTATTTTACTTTTAGAATTAAATAAAATAAATATAAATCAAATTAATTTATGATAATCATATTTTATATAAAATATAGAATATTTAATCATTATATAAAATATAATGAAAATAAAAATTAATTTAAAATAAGAAATAACATTATATAATGGTTATAAATGTTAATAAATTAATATTTATTCTATTTGAAATGATTTAATGTTTATTATCAATCAATATATCATTGATAATTATAAAATTATTGAAAATTAATCATTTCATTCTTATAAAATGAAAATATAATATTCATCTAATTAATTTATTCATTTTTATCTTTTTCTTATTTGAATTAATTCAATAATTATTTATTTATTCTTTATTTTATATTATTCATTCATTGTTATATTCTCATTATCTAATTATATTATATCTGTTCTTATCTTGTTATGTTATTCATAAAAATTACTTTCGTTTTATTCTTTCTTTTCATCATTTATTATTTTCTTTGTTAAAACTTTAAATTTATTAAAAAGTCATTTCACTTAGACAACAACACATGTGTCATCATAATAATCATCACAATGGACGTAGATTTTCCCTATTCTCTTATCGTTCTTTAGTTTTTTTTCACATTTACACCCACTAAAACATTTAAATCCTATTTCTTTAACTGATGTTGGTATATCAATTGATGCCAATGATTTACATCCACAAAAACAGAATATGTCTAGACTTTTAACAGATGTTGGTATATTAATTGATGTTAATGATAAACATTCTTGAAAACAACCACAGTCTAATTTACTAACAGATGTTGGTATATTAACTGATTTTAATGATGAACATAACTCAAAACAACCACAGTCTATTTTACTAACAGATGTTGGTATATTAATATATCTTAATGATGAACATTCTTTAAAACATCCATTTTCTAATTCAGTGATTGATGTAGGAATAACAAACCCATTAACATCTCTTTTTCTTATTGACATTCCATTAATTCTTTTTAAGTTATTAATAGGAATTGATGCTAGTTTTTCTTTTCCTACAAACACTCTATCCTCACTAATAAATTGAACATTTCCAATATCAATTGATGTTAATGATGGACATTCACTAAAACACCAACATCCGAATTCACTAACAGACGTTGGTATATTAATTGATATTAATGACTTACATTCTTTAAAACAATTATTTCCTATTTTACTAACAGATGATGGTATGTTAATTGATTTTAATGGCATACACCCTTCAAAACAACCATCCGTTATTTCAGTGATTGATGTTGGAATAACAAATTCATTAACATCTCTTTCTCTTATTTCTTTTCCATTTATTCTTTTCAAATTACCAAGTTTAATACAATTGAGTTTTTCTTTTCCTACAAACACTCTATCCTCACTAATAAATTGAACATTTCCAATATTTATACTTGTTAATGATTCACAACCTTCAAAACATTCATTTCCTATTTTAACAACAGAAGTTGGTATATTAATAGATGTTAATGATTTACACCTATAAAAACATTTATATCCTAATGATGTAATATATGTGGGGATATTAATTTTATCAATATCACAACATCCTTCAAAACATTCATCACCAATTCCATTAAATTCTTCTGGAATGTTCAATCCACATCGTTCTCTGTCCTCTCTTGTATACACTTTTGTCATTGTTATTATATAGTTATTATCATTTCATTAAATAATAATGGATGACGAATTATTATATTTTCTTTATTCTTCTAATGATGTTTATTTATTTTTTTTTTACATTTTTTTATAATTATTACATAAAATTATTAATATTATTGTTAATGTAATGTTATTTGTATTTATTTTTATTTTATATTCATATTTTATCGTTTTTATGAAATTTGTTCTTTTATTTTGTATTTATATTTTTGTTCATTTCTGTGTTATTTATCATTGTTATTAATGTAATTATTCTTTTCCTTTATATAATTTCTTATTATAATTTATTTTGTTTGTTATTTTTATTCAATTCAATTA